ACAAAAAAAAAAAAAAAAAAAACCTACTATTTAAAGTGTTCCTAAATATTGACTAAAAATAAACAAGCTCTGCATCTGGCTTAGAAAATACCAAAGGAAAATTATCTGTTTAGGCTAGAGACATGACTTGAAATCTCCATATTCCACACAGAGGATATCAAAGTCGTCTTTTTCCTACTTTTGGAGGTCTAAGAGTGATAGTGAGTGATTTAGGGGAAGACAGGGAGAATCTACAAGTGTATATAAGCAGTTCTGAGCTCATTTTTATCCAAACAAACTAGCTTTGGACTGCTACATGTATTTTATATTAAAAGCTGGGGGCTTTTTCTCAATTTTACTGCATGAGGTAAAATGTAGAAAATATACTTCTATGAATGTTATAAATTCTTCAATTGCTGTTAAGGCCATTTTTTATTATGTGGGTACCAAAAGGTCCCTAGTGCAAAACAGACTTAAGCTCATTGATTTTAAATAGTCCCATCTAAATAAAACCAAAATTTGGCTCTGAACACCTCTAGCAGAAAACTCTGCTACTGTAATGAATATCTTAAATGTAATCTTTTTTCTTTTAATTAACATTCAAAAGAGAAAAGGAAGTTGGAAATCCAGATAAATATGTTATGAGTCAATTAAGAAGCCGGGATTAGCATATGCAATCAAGATGGGTGCAGCAAGATTTCATGGAAGAGTTCATGAGGAAGCAACCAGGATGTATCATTTGCATGGGCGGCCTCCTTGGTTAGTGTTCTGCTCAACCTCAGTATTGTTGACTTGACTCACTGCATGAATATTGCCAAGCAGTAGCAAACCACGATTTCATTTTCCTCCTTATACAGATGCAACTTACCTTGACATGTGGTTTTAAAAGAGACAAATATGAACTGTGACCAACTGTAGTGGTACTTTTCTTATTTCTGTAGATGTTCTTTTTAATAAAATCTCTTCCTAAACTTCAGTTGTTTGAATATTATCAGCAGATATTGTAGACTGTCCTACCCTTTCCTTGATCTGATTAATGATATTGAATACCCCCCTGGGTCTAAAGTGAGATACTTCACACGTAGGCCACCTGAACAATGGAAGACTTTAACTGGGTGTGATTGATTAGCAGGCAATATAAAAGGATTTGATGAACTCACACCGAGTTACTATCAGTCAAGCATTTGTATTCTAAAGCCAGTGTCCAATGCTAAAGCCAATGTCCAATCTACAACACAATGCAGCACTTTCTTTTTCTTTTTCCTTTTCTTTCTTTTTTTTTTTCTTTTTTTTTTTTTTGTAGTAAAGCAAAAAAATACATGACATTTATGGTGCAGAGCTTGTAACCTTTTACATTTTAACCTTTTACATTTAAACCTTTCAACTGATTATTCTAGAATTTGGTCATCATGGAGCATCTAGGTATGTATGTATGTATGTATGTATGTATGTATGTATGTATGTATCTATCTATCTATCTATCTATCTATCTATCTATCTATCTATCTATCATCTATCTATCTATCTATCTGTCCATGATTTACCTTTTGTACAGATAAACTGAAAGCATGAGTATCCTGGGATAAAAAGCAAATGTTTTCCTAGCTTCATCTTTCACAGAAAAAAAGATTTCAAGCCTTTTAAAATGTGATACTCAACAGTAATAAAAATAATTAAGTATATATGTGTGATCTCAATTGTTTTGAAAAAAGCTGTCCATAACACTGCAGAACAATACAAATTTAGCACAGCTGCTGAAAGACAGTCACTACTGAACTCATTTTCAACATATGGTGTGATTTTTGCTTAGATCTACAGATTGAGGGAGTTTGATGAAAACTAAACAATCGTTCATAAAACTCAAGCCTCAGTTACCATGGTTCACAGGAAACCGTACACCTAATGACAGTTAAGAAAACTGTTTATTTCATAATGACTACAAGAAGATTATAGAATGTGAAATAAGAAAAACTGAATTTCAGCCACCTTAAGAAGTGTAAGAAGACCATGTCTCCTTTTGCTGATTTCACATTCAATGGTTATAACAGGCTTTGCACAACACTGCTCTCCCTCCTATTGACCAAGACTTATGTTGATACTGGTGCAACACAAGATTTTATCCCTTCAGATTCAACAAAGAAAATTACACTGCATCACAAATGTAGTTTCCTAATTTGAAGTTTTTGAAAAAAAAAATACAATATTGAGGGCTATGTGGGTTTTTTTAAACATGCTGCACAATGAAAGATGGCAAGGCCCTGACAATGTAGTGCAAACTGACCACTGTAATCATTGCAAACATAAGCCTTTATTCTAGGATAGAAACTTAAAATTATTAAAAGAAACACATCTACAGGATCTTCTTTTGCCTTACTGAATCATCATAGTCAATCTAAAAATGAAAAAAAAAAAAAAAAGAGTAAGGAACCCTGCAATTCAGAAGTGCTCCACATGGACTACATTTTTAGAGGGTGCAAATACATTAGAATATATCAATGTATATGAACAAATTAGTGTAAAAAGGTGTGTTCCAGAGGCTTCTGAATGTGTGCACACTATTAAAATCTGTCTGAGATCTGTTTGGTGAAAGCAACAATTATCTTTCTTATTAAAGAATATGCAATTACAGCCCTTTTAGCACTTCCTGCTTCCTTCAACAATGAGGACCTGTCTGCACTGCAGATTATAAGGTCCTCCACTGTTTCACTGGGTCACCAGACTAAACAGGCCAAGCCACTTTCACAGCAATTTATTCCATATTTTCTCTTTTGGGCCGGCCAACTTCTTTTATAATAAAACTGGGCCTAGCCAGAGATTTACAGGACTGTCACCACAGGAGAGATAGCTCCTGTAAATTGGCATAGAATGCTGTTTAAATTTAAACACCAAAAAAATTTTGTCAAGTCCCTAATGTATCTGATGTCATATCTATTATCTTTGAATTCTTCATCAGACATTGAAAAATATGATCTTCAGACTTCTCACGCTTACACAAAAGTTACCATGGCCATAGAGCCGGTGCAAATACTTTATATATTAAACTACTATTTTAGTTCATGGTATTTGTCTGTCATCAGAAAAACCAGAAAGTCTACAGTTCAGATTTCTCAGGATCTGAGAATGGTTTGATTAAACTACAGATGTTAATTAAGACCCAAATCTGTATCTTCATGCATAGCCAGAATAACCAGCTTGTTAGCTAGGGAAAGCCCAAGATATTTAGAATATTCCATATTGTAGGATGTAGATCACAAGTGGAAGGGTTCCAGGACAGCTTTGTAACCTACTCTTCAGTTATATCAAGCAGGTTTGGGGAAGGCAAGACAGATGGGGCAGACTGTCTGAACTGTGCCCATACATCCTATATGGCAAAAGCAGTCAGTTATGCTGTGGCAGAGGAAATCCATGCAGTGGACTGCTGTCAAGTCTTTGGAGGAATTTTCATCTCCTGATTTTGGAAGCTTTCAAATAGGCAAAATAAAAGTATTTTTAAAGAAGAAATAAGCATCTTTAAATATTATTGCACTTTTCCTAGAAAAGGCCAACATTTTAGTATGTATTTCCATTATAATTTAGATAAATTCTATAAAAATATAATTTTCACCTTGCATCCCACAGGACTCAAAATAAATATGAGTGTCTAGCCATGTTAGCCATTAGAGCTTCTAATGGGAAACACTTACAGAGAGAACTTTCATTATAAGTAATATGCAATCCAACAGTTTCCTGTGCTGTCCTTTGTGATGCAAAATAAAAATGGACCAGAAACTGTACCAAGATAACAGTTCCCAGCAGATACCAAGTATTGCTGTTATTATGAAATAAACTGTTATTAATAATTAGATACTGATTTATATAGTTTATGGTCTAATCCTATAAAGCATTATGGTGCTCCAACTCTGAATTTTTTTGTCCCATGGTTCCCTGTCAGGTATCCAGAATCATGTTTTGAAAGCATTACTTTCCTGCAGCACAGCAGAAGAGACACCTGGGTGGCCTGGAAAACAGCCAGCACAGCATGTCTTGACCTCAACATAAGACAGCTGGAGTTAACCAGGGGAAAAATGGTTTGTCCCAAATCTACAATCCTGCCTCCTTCTAAAGCAAAGCTCTACCTGAGGGTTACCTCTAAAGACAGGGCTCTACCCAGGGCTGTCTGAGAGATGCCTCCATCCAATCAGTATCTACACCCTCGTTCTTTTTATGAAAATAGGTCCCTGTGATCTTTCCTTCAAAACTTATGTTTTATTAAAACATAGCTGGAGGAGAAGCTGGCTTCCCATCTCCCTCTATATAACAACTCTGTGATTAGAGCACTAATGCAATCATGGGATTCATCTCTGCTGCCCTGAAAGGCCCCAATTTACAACTCCTCTCACCCCAGGGAGGACTCTGACCACCAGGCTGATGGTTATTTTAGAAGGGGCAGTCTCGACCCTTTTGCTGAAACAGTGCCCTTGAGCACAAACGAATTCAAGATTCCTTAGATCATAATCTTATGTTTAGTTTATTCCCAGGGCTGGGGCACACACTGAGTTTTCTTGGGATTATTTTTGTCTTCACTATGTTAAATTGTTGTGAAATACATACAATATCCCCCTAAAAAAATTAATTACAAAAACAAAAATAAGAGTAAAAATAAAAATAATCCTGGGATTAAGTCCCATTATTACCACAGTGACCCTTCTGCATTTTGTCAAGAATGCAGTCATGTCAGGGAGTTTGGGCACACTCCACGAGTAACCAGGGGGCCAAGCTGACCAAGACACTCAGGCAGAATAACATTGCAGGTCTAGAGGACCTGGGTGGGCATGAACAGTCCTGAACGGCCACTTAGGAGTCCCAAGTGGAAAAGCAACTAACTCTAAGGCAAACCTAGTGCTTTGAGGTTTAGGCAAATTCTTAGAAGAGGTTTTGTGAATCACAGCTGTTTGTTCACATGTTTGAATTCTACCCGATTCCCACATTTCAACCATCCACATCCTTTTATTGACCAAAACACAAGTATTGACAGAGACATCTTTGTGCTCCCAAAATATCTTTTTATTTAGGAAAAAAACAGCAGCAGTTACTGAAGATCATCAACATTGAAAGCATTGAGTGGCTACCTTCACAGAATAATGCCTGTCACAGCTTATCTGACAGACTGATTATTCAAAGTCTGGTGCACCTATGGTTGGGAATCATATTACAAGGCTTAGGGTTTCACACTTAAACTGCCCTGTCTGTCCACAGGAAGAATTATGCTAAATCCCGTTTTCACTTCACAATATTCCTCAGGTGAAAATTTAACTTTGGAGAAGTAAAATGTTTATTTTGACATTGTGACTGATGTCTGCTACTCTGTGAAAGAAATATTAATAAAAGGCCTAATTAACTAGATACTGTAAACTCCAAACCAAAGACATGTTTCTCTGAAACTTCCTTATTCTGGGCACATTCTCTTTAGGCCCTTACAGAATCTTTACATTTCTAGAAACCAAGTGTACTTTTGTCTCTAAACAGCACAGTAATGAGGTGTTTATATCTTCACCTATAGCAGAAAAAGCTTTTTCACTAGATTTAACAAGAATACAAGAAAAAAAAAAGCTAAATTTATCCTATTTACTCTGGGTTTGTACACTTATTTACTAAGATCTAGTGGCACACCTTGTAATTCCTAGTTAGGTATTCAAAATTGCAACATGACTACAAGTTAAATATAATTTGTGAAATATATGCCATATTTGATAAAAAATGCATGTAGTCAGAATCATATGATTTAATTTGCATAGATGTAAAAACGGAATTTATTATACACAACCTATATTCATAAAAGTAGACAGTCACCTGGTTTATCTTCACTGGTTTAATCTGGCAGTGTCTCAATACAGGCAACAGAATTTTTAAAAGCAGCCAAGTGGAAGTAGAAGAGAACAGACAACATGCAGTAAAAGTGGTTCACACAAATAGTGATATATCTCCTTCAATCCTTTAAAAGTTATACTTTTGGACTTTCAGATGGAAGAAGGAGACAGCAGCCAGGCAAAACAGAAGTGAGTCTGACATCACTGATGCATCTGCAAAAACTTGATCTACTTTTCCAAAACGCAAAGTTTTACAAGGAAATCTACAGGATACACTTTGGTTTTTTAGGTAATCCAAAGACCTCCTGTAACAGAGATGTGGAGCAGAAAGCAGTTACTATCTTGGAGAGAGGCCAAATGGACTGAGGTACTGTGTAGCATAAAGGCCTGGAAACATGGACCTTCACTGTATGATTGGAGAGAACTTAAACTAGTTTGGAGACAGAAAAATGAATATGTTATTATTGACATGATGCCCACTTCAGTAAAGAACTTTTCAGAATAGACATTCAAGTAGCAAGGTCATATAGGCCTGAGCTCAAGAGATTGGTGTCTAACCAACAAAGAGTAGAATAACCAACCAACTGCAGAAATGCACTAAAGATATATTCAAAAAAAGACATCTGACTATCTTCCACTGAGCTACTAGCAAAATGAAACATCAAAAAAGGTTGTGGCACAGATGGCAATGGCCACTTGCATTTAAGGTATGCACAGAAGGCTACTTCAGCATGGTTGTAACTGTTGATTATCAATTTCATCTACAACAGATAACATTTAGAACTAGTTGGAACACAGTTCAAACCAAGTCTTAACGTTTCATCAAGCTGCTGAGACATCCATGTGTACTCCATGCCAATATGCAGGTTTCTTTGCTATGTTTCACAAATAATACCATATAAATAGTTTTCAAAACGTAGGCTGGAGCTTTTGTATGTTAAGAAGGAAAAAATACCCAAATGTTATTTTCAGTTTCTGATGTGCTCAGCTTAAGCAAACCATGATGAAAGCAAGCAATTATAAAGAATGATAGGTGGCATGTGGTGGTTTTCACTGATATAGCATTATCCACACACTACAAGCTGGAAATAAACCATTCTTGATAATGTACATATTACTTGAGAACGACACAAGTATCTGAGCACTACTGAGAGTTCTGTTCCTCATGTATAATTTCAGGCAGAAGATGGCCTTCTCTGTCAACGATGGGTCAACATACCTTTCAAGTAGACACACATTCCTACAGCGTTTCTTCTTGGAAATGAACATTTCGTTTCAAGCCCCAGGTAATATCAGATACAGAAAAAAGCTCACATATATATGTATTTAGTCTCTGGATCCATGTGGATTCTTTTAACCCCACTCTACTCCTCGCTGAACTTCACTTTCCACCCCTCTGTACTCATGTCTAAACATAAAGGTATTTACATGTCTGAAAGGAACTGGAAAGCAACTGTGATATTTCCCAGAGGATTTTAAAGCTCTTCTCACACAAAACCAACACATCATTATGTCACAGTGGCACTTCAATGAGGGGCACCTCAGGAAGGGCCTCTGACATGGTTATGATTAGCAGATTCGTCACTTTCATTACCTCACTTGTAAAAGAAAGACTGGAACAGAAATATTTTCAGTTAGTATTATCCTTCCCTGGAATCAGTTATGTCTATAGGCCTTATAGGATGTGCCATCAATAGGATGGTCTTTGGATAAATGTACTGTTATACACTGCTGGAAGTACCTAAAACTGATGGGTCTTTGAAATTGTGTGTGTATCTGCTGTTCCTTGGCAGGTTCTAAATCCACAAATTCATGAGTGGCTTATTGTGATTCATATGTCACTTTCATTTTTGGCAGGTAATGCTAATGGTATTGGAGAATGACTATTTGAATGAGATCTGCACCCACTTCTCTCAAATCAGGACTCTAAAAATGCTCAGAAAGGAGCTGTCAGCATAAATAAAAAAATAATTTAAAAAGAATGTATACTTATTCTGTATAGGCTTTCAACTGCACAATTCGAGACATCAGGGATGAGCAGGATGAACAGGACTTTCTGTAGTTCCTTTCTAAGCATTTTAGCATCTATAGCTCCTTTCTGAGCATGTAGAAGGCTGGGCAAGGAAACATCTAGGGGGGGAAATTGAGGAAGAGGAAATATCTATGTGTCAGTAATAGGAAAGTTATATTGTACATCTGTTTTTTAGGCATGCTTTGATGACATGCCACAGCTAAAGGGCAGGCAGTATATGTGTTGCTTCAGTGACATGAATGACACAACTTTGTAAAACTCACTGCTTAATGACATAAATCGTAACTCTCAAACACAGTATACGGTTGTCCCATATGTATTTCAGTGTTTAGACTCATACTAGGTATTTTGATACTGAAAGCACTGAAGGAGCACTATGCTGAAAACCAGTGCACACTGGGTAAGCAAGAGCACCTTATCTGTACTAATGCTGGACTTACCATCATAGCTTGTTGGTTTGTAACAATACCATAACATTTAGCTAATATTGTTTACAGCAGCCCAATGACAAGCAATTCTATTCCCATTACTGCTCACAGTCTGGTATTAAATATTTGTTTCCAAAGTAAACTGCCTGATGTAGCTGAAAAGTATTACCACACTTTTTTAAAAAAAAGCTGAATAAACCTTACCTGTTAAAAACAAAATGTGACCTTAAAAAAAGTGTGTGTGTTTTGACTAATAGACAAAGTTGATGAAAAATAAGGTTTATGCTACATTTCTATTTTAAAGAGGGGTTTTCAATAGTGCACTTGGGGATCTTTAAAAGGGAGCTTGGTCTAAACTCAGTTACAGTTCTGGATCTGGTCTTAAATCCATGTGTAGCCTCAGGCAAATGTGTTAATTTTCCTGTTTCAGTTTCCCTGACTTTAAAGTGGGGATAACGTGACTAACCCAAATAGCTTAGCTGCAATTTGTAGCAATGAGTAACTTGATTATTAGATTTCTGAGACATGAAACATGATTATTATTAGGGCTTACTGACCAGCCAGTCAGAAATGTGATACAAATAAAGGAGATGGGTCTTTGACAATAGAAGGATGTAGGTTAGTCAGTCAGTCAGTCAGAGTAGCTCTGCAAGGAGGCAACTCCAGGGAGTGGAGAGTTGGACCTATAAAAGAGAGAATGTCTGTCCCCTTTGTACTGATCTCCTATTTATTACCCCATGGTATCAAAAGACCATAAAAAGCTAAGTCCTCTCTGAGAAATGAAGAGGTCCAAAGCACTACAACAAATCAGCTGCAGGCAAATAAATTTTTATCTGTGTAAGTGAGCTCAATGTTATTTTCTAGTGGAAATGTTAGAATTTATTAAAGACCTAGGATTTTTATTTAAAATGAGAGAGTAGGGGATGATATGTTTTAAACGGAGAAAAAGTCAGAGGACTGATAATATGGAGATAAAAGGGTGAATTAATTTCTGGTGTTGTTGCAGTAATTTGGTATTCAACATATTGAGTCCAAATTCGCACCACTGTACCTAGTATAAATAGTAGTGCCTTTTAATAACTGTGACGAAAATACTCTCCCCACTGGCAAGGTCAATATTATTAATTGCTATTCCTATTATTAACCTTTGGGCTTGTGTATCCTCCATGGATTAATGATTATTCAATAACTGAGCTACAAGGTTAAGTTACTAATAGCAATTAATAGAAGGACATACTGCTGGCTAACTAGGAAAAGCAATGACAAATCAACTTCTTGGCCTTGGTCTTGTTTGATGGAAAGGTGCCTATGGGAATTGTACCTGTCAGTTCCCAGAGCTGAAAGACAAAATCTGCCTCAAAGTTGAGACAAATAAAAAACGGAGATCGGGCTGACATCCGGGGTCCCCTCTCTTGTCAGTCTCCTAGGGAATAAGAAACAGCCTCAGCTTTCAGGGAAACATGCGTTCATTGTTCATTCTCCAGTAGTTCCACTTCCAATCCTACATCAGTGAAGAGGGGAAAGAAGGTCTTAAAAACAAAAAAAGGAGAGAAAAGTACTTCCCCTAGGAGAAGTTTCATGAATAAAGGCAATTCTCTAACAGCGTTACAGAGCACGTGGTGCCAGGTGAAACACCAGGCAGGAGCAGCACAGTGATGCGGGACTCGGCCCCGCTCCCGGCCCGACGGGGCAGCGGGACTGCCGGCAGGCAGAGGCCTCCGGGGGATGCCTGCCCGCACCCGGGCATCCCCAGCCCGCGGAGACCGCCAGCGCGGTAGCGGAGCTTCTCTCCATCAGCCACCTCAAATCGCGGGTAGTCGCGGAGCGCTGCCTGCCCCAAAGGGGCTGCTGCCGGGGCTCTGGGAGTAGCGGCGGGGGGCGGCCAGAGGGCGCGGGGACAGCTGTGGAAATAAAGGAGCAGGGGAAGGATGGAGAGAAGGGGGAAGAAGGGGGCGGGGGCGCGGTGCCGGGGAAGGCAATGCGGGGACGGTGGAGGGTTTCGACCCGAGTTCCGGGGAGAAGGGGGACGCGGCAGGCATGGGTAAACGCACACCACCATCCCCCGGCACTTCCACCAAGTCAGCCCCACCGCCCCGCGGGGCCGGGAGCCGCCGGAGGAAGGAGCCGCCGCGCACACACACAAACACACGCCACCGCTGCGCTCCAGCCGCCGCTCGGTTCTCCCCCCCTCCCACCGCCGCCGCGCAGGCAGGAGGCAGCGGGCGCGGAACAGAGCGGGCGGCGCAGGGCTCGGGGACCCCGGCCCCAGTCGGACCGGCCTCCAGCGGCCGCGCTGCCCCGACGGCACCGCCGCCCCCTCCCCGGGGGCAGCGCGCACCTCCCCTCCTGGAGGGGCCGTACGAGGCAGCAGGCGGGGGGAACGCGGGCACACACACACACACACAGAGCTCACACACATATACACACACACGCGCAGGCACACCCGCACAGACACACGCAGGCAGAGGCAGGGCTGCCCCACGCCGGTACCTTGCTGCCCTGGTGTTTTCCGTCCGGGCTCCTCCTTGCTGAGGCAGCTCGGGAGCGGAGCCGAGCGGGCGGGTGCGTGTGCGTGTGTGTGTGTGTGCGTGCGTGCATGCGTGTGCCTCTGTGTGTGTATGTGTGTGTGTGTGTGCGTGTGTATGCGAGAGCGAGCGAGCGAGAGAGACTCTCCCCCCTCCCCCTCCTCCTCCTCGCTCTCCTTCCTTTAAACGCCCACTCCTGATGGGTGAAAAGACAACTTGAACTTCAGTGCAATTAACTTCGCCGGCGCCTCGGAAGCCGGAGGTGTCGCCGGCCTCGCCCGCCGCGCTCCCATGAGTGAGTTGGTCCCGCTCCTTCGGCGTCTCTCCCCGGGGACGTGGGGGACGGGGGGGACGGAGCCGTGCCGGGGGCACCCGCCGCGGCGATTTACCCGGCTGTGCCGGCCCGGGAGGCGCGGGGCGGGTGGCTGCGCCGGGCGCTGCCGCTGCCGGAGCCTCCCGGCCGGCACGGGCTCACACCTGCCGCCGCGCCGCTGCCGGTCGGCGGCTCCGCTCCGCTCCGCTCCCTTGCCCGCTGCCGCCTCACCCGCCGCTGGCACGGGGGGAGCGGGGGGAAGTGGGGGTGGGGGCAGAGGGAAAAAAACCCCAGAAGTTTGGCAAAGTTCTTACCCAGCTTCGCGCGCCTCCCGGCAGCGGCGGGCGCGGGGCGGCGGCGCCCCCGACGGCGCGGGGCGAAGCGGCGGGGCCGGGGGTCGCGGGCGGGGGGCGGGGGGGGTCGCGGGGTGGCGCTTCCGCGGGGCGCGGGGGTTGCGCGGGCGGCCGAGCGGCCGCGGCTGCCCCAGCCGGGGGCGCGCCCGTGGCGGTGGGTGGCACGTCCCCCCCGCCCGCCCGCGGCACGACCCGCGGCTGCCGCTGTCACGGGGAGCAGCGGCAGCAGCTCGTCTGTGTGCTCCAGGATTTACTTTTGGTTTTTCCAATCCGTCTCCGAACCCGGCACCCGAGGTTTTGCTAAATCCTCGCCCCTTTGTCGTCGTCTCCGCCGGCTGCCGGGGGGAGCGCTCCTGACAGGCACCTGCCCGACCCGGAGTTTCCCTCTGCCAGTCTCCAGCTTTTTCTGACTGCGGGAGAAACTTCGCTACAATCTAAGTTTTCTGAAACACTTTGCACCAGCTCCTAAGCTGAAATGAGTTTAAACTGAGAAAAGCTCTCCTCCGTGCAAGTAAGCGCAGCGATTCTGCGAAAATAATTCACAAATTCAGATGCAGAGACGTGTGATCTGGAGGTGCCCTTTCATTCTGGTCCGTGCTGCTTGGGTGGGAGTTAGTAGCGGCCCCTGATTTCTACTTTATATTATTTTGGTACAGCGCATTCATATATTTGTCTGCTGTAGTCTGCTGGCAAACATTAGCATTCAAGCTTACATTTTTGACAAATGTGCAGACAGGAATAGCATGAATAGGCATCTTAAATATTAACAACCTAAGCATCTGTTGTGAAACAAATTTAATATATTTACTCTGTTTTTCTCACATTGTTAGGAAAGGTTACAATAAGTGTAAAATTTCAGCTGTAGTTAGCACAAGGAATGCTTGGATATTTCACTATCAAGCATTTAACACAATCACCAGATAGAAATGTGTCAAATCAGGCGCACTATTCAAAAACAACTTGTAACTGTAAGCGTAGAGTGTATAGACATGAATATAGCATGTTCTCTTCAATTTCTATCTTCTAATTACTTTTCAGCAGTATTTGTAGAATTTGAGAATGCTCTTTCCAGTCCCGTATTCCTATATGCTCTTTAATATGTTTATACATACACACACTCATTTTCTAATTCACTTTCTATTTGAGATTGTTATGGATATTACCTTGCTTTTCAAGTTGAAGCAATGGTTTTGCAAGGAAATGTGAAATAACGTAGAGTAGGTAAAAAAATGAGCAGGCAGAAAATGCAACGTGTTCACATATAAGCATGCGTCAGAACAGATAGTGCACACACATAATAAGGCAATAGAAGAGAAATTAAAATCCTTGGCTAGTATGCTATGTATGCCCACTCTTCAGTACAGCTAGTGGAAAAAAAACAACTGACTCCAAGGAATTCCTCTGTCCCTGCAATAAAACTGTTCAGAGTAGAACAAGAGCACAGAAGAGCAAAGCCTCCAAAAAGGCTGTAGAGTTATTTCAGGAATCAGTGCATTCCTTCCCTTTTTCCCACAAGTTCAAATATGTAATAAATAAGTCCTTTGTATGCAAAATAGTTTACTGGAACATGCATGAATTTGTGCATGAATTTTGAAAAACTGGCCATTTCCTTTTTATATTCTTTGTTCTTGATACTTTAAATAGCAAAGTAACTCTCGCAGTTTCCCCTCTCATGCTATTTTAGCGACTCGTGTGAATCCTAACCTGCTGCTGTGCTCCCGAGAAAGCAGTGTGAAGCAGAGTCGATCTGTAACTCACTGATGGGACACAGTGCTTTGGCAGTATCAGAAGCAGAGAGAGCCTGCCACGCCAGCCCCAGCTTGTACACGAGCAGGGCACCTCTTTGGTTTGCAGCGTAGGCCCAGCGGGTGAGAGGATGAGCACCTGCCCTGTGTGGCTGTGCTTCCCAAGGCAGCATCAGCCCTGCCTGCAGCCCTGCCAGCATCCCACAGGCACCAGCCACCATGTTCAGCCCTGCTGAGGACGTGGGCACATCCACCCCTGCAGCACGAAAACCTCTTTAGAGAGGTTTCTCTAAAGAAAATGTTTCTCACACATTACAGGTTTGGGATAGAGAGGGCTTTACATGTGTGAAACTGCCATTTAGAAGATAATCAGATGAAGTCTGGTGTTCTTGTTAAAAAAAAAGACCAGCAAAAAAACCTCACCAAATCTTTAAATGTATCAACTACTTGGTTTTTCAAAGTACTGTTACCTTTTTAATGTCACCTATTTTTTTAGTCAAAGTATTGTCAGAGGAATTTGAAGTAATTCCGTAGGTTTCCAGCTGTATTTGAAAAAAAAGAAAATTAAGAAGATTACTTTATTAATAAAATAGTTCATAATATATAGAAAAATACATTAAAGTAGATTTCTGAATTAAAACTGGAGGAAATACGACTTCTGAAATGTTTTAGTCATATTTCTAGGAACTATGGTATTTTAACATAGACTCTAGTGAAGCATTTTATTGCTTTCTTGTATATAACTGCCGTTGCTCTCTCTAGATATATTTAATATATATCCAGTGAAGCCACAAACTTTCCTTCTACAACAGTTTAAACACATCTGGAACATTTTACTTTCTTATAATTTATGTTAATAGATGTAGAGTGTATATACAATCTTCTCAGACATCATTGCTTTTTCCAAAGGGGAATTTTTTTACTTTCAGTCAGGGAATATATTTATAAGAACAAAATAACTCAAAGTATAGGCAATTCCATATATCATTTTATTTTCTGTTATATTAGGTTGATTATATAAAGCTTTCATTTAGAGCGATGGGATGATGAAATTACAGAGGAGTGATTGGCTTTTGTTTTTTCAAATGGTTCAAGTTGAGGGCTGCAAAAATGAATGTTTTTTGTAAAGTTCTTTGAGTGCGTAATATTTTTCATAGAATTCTGACAAATTAATTTAATAGAAAAGCCACAAGTCTCTTAGCCAGGTAAAATGGAAGTTCTGTTTTTGCCGTTATAGGCATCAGGCTTCAGTAATCTGCTCCTCTTGTGGAATGAACACTTTCTACTTAAAGCTATCATGCACCTACTGTTTATTTACGCTGCATTAAACTGACAGCACGGCAATCAGAGGAAAAAATATGACTTACTTTCCTGAAGTAAATACCAGTTTATAGGTTAGTGCCTGTATTTATATTCCTGTCGCCACTAAATAATGGCTGTCTCCATTTTAATATCTACCTGTGGTGTTACCCAGGGCAGCTGGCTCTTCCTTGTTTAAAACAAGCAAAAAAGGAAGGTGGGGGTGAGGAAGAGAAGAAAGTTTTGTTATCATTCCACTCTAAGAGGAACTTAATAGAAAAGTGATTCAGTATTCGTTTCTGTGGCAAGCCGAAGCCAGTTTTAAAGACATAGTATTCAGTTTTACTTGATGTAATTGAATTGCATCTCAAACAGGGAAAACAGAATTCCTTAACAGTATTTGTCTATCCAAGACACTGTAATTGTATATTCAGGCAATGGCAGATTAAGGGCAGAAGCATTTTATTAATAACTGAAAGCACATATGTGTGTGTGATGAAAAATGTTCTGCAAATCTGTCACTATGCAATCAAGTGCATTTTTTAAACTTTAGTTGTCACAAAGTTGCTACTGAGTCTAAAAAAAAAAAAAAAAGAAAAAAAGAAAGAAGTAAAACAGTTTGACGGTTAAAGAGTAACTTACAGTTCTTACTGCCTGCTATATGGAAACTTTGCAACTTTATAAAGTCAGTCTCAGAAAGCCCTGTTGATGTTACCTTTAATCTTGGAGTGATGAGTCCAAATAGCTGGAATTTGAACTGAAGATAACTGCAGTCAGAATAACTCACAGTTTGCAAAAAGCTTCTCTAAATTCTCTGTTGAAGGACTCCATTAATAACTTTTACCTGAGAGGTTAATTCCTCCCTCAGATTCTCAAAAGTATTATACCTAACACTAAGTTGGCTAGTTGGTCAGTTCCCTTGGCTGTGGTATCATGAACTGTCAACAGTCCTGACCACAACTTGTAACTGTTACTTCCAAGAGGCTATACTATGATGTTCCCTTCAAAAATGCTGGTGGTTTTGAACATTTGCCATCCTGTGGCATCAAGTTTACCACAGTTATCACCAACACTTCATTACATAATGGCTAGCCATTCTATTGCTTTGCAAAAGCCAGCTTTCTCATGGTTTCTGCACAGCATTGCTCTCAGTAGGTTTAAGTCTTGTTAGAGATTAATTTTAAGGAGACTTGCCAGCACTGATCTTGTACATATGTTCTAAACTGGTCCTTGTGCCCTGTGTCAGTTGTAACCTACTCTTAATCTGTTTTATCTGGTGCAGTGTACTAGGAATGGCATAGTAATAGTAGAGTACAGTAGTAGAGTGTAGTAACATACCTCAGGCACTGTCTGAATTCTAAATATTTCCTTTTAAACTTGCTGAGCCTGACTTTGTTCTCATGCACACTGGTGTGTCACTACAGAGCTTGGTTTTCACTGTTCCTGTAAAGGATCAATGTTAGGCATTCAGATGGGCTCAAGGACACACTAACACTTAGTATTTGCACCAAGGTCCACCTTGCAGCTATTTATTTAGAACACCAACGCACAGCAATCTCTCTGGAGATTGATTCCCCTGTGAAACACTGTGCATTTGTGTTTGCTGGGATGGGGACTGTAAGACTTGCTTTCACTCGAGTGCAGGCTAACTGCTGTCTCTGAGCTGTCGTAAAGCACTGCTGGTGGCACCTCTGCACAGCTGTAGGCTCACAGAAGTTATCTCTCATTACCTCGTGCTTTGCTGCTGTGAACTGCAGGTTAGAGAGGCAGAGGAGCTTTGCTGGCCTGTGGATGGGCCTCTGTCACCCCAGCTGCACCTGGGTGCAAAACATCAGGATGGGCCACGTCTGTCAGCTGCATTTGCCTTACATAACTTTCAGGGACTATCTGCTCTATCTCTTTCCCGTGGCACATTATGACATGATGTGACCTGAGGAGATGAGGGAGGTGCTTTAAACCTCAAGTGCATCTCATCTTCCTGGGATCCTGCTCTGACAGGATTTATTTGGCCAGCAGCAATCATTTGTGGGTCCTTACACTTGCTGCTCGCTAGACGAAGTGGTGATGCACTCAGACCACCTGTGTTTGGAGGACTGTCTCATAATCTTTTCTGGTGTCTTTACTCCTGGTTCTGGTTTCAGCCCTGAAAAAAATGTGTAATTTTTGGTTAATAACTGTCCATGCCATATTTGCCATCTTTGATGCTGTAACCCTGATTTTGAAAATGCTCAGCACATAACTTCATATGAAGGAAAAGGAAGCTACAGCACATTATCCTTTTATAAATGCGGCCTTAATATGCTCCTGGTTTATTTACCCAGCTATAAAATTAGTAGTATACGTGTTTCATAGAACAGTGAAGGAGTAAGTAATTCTTTATACTTGTAAATCAGTCCTAGAGTGGAAAACATTTTCAGCAGAAGTGCCAGGAATTGCTGCTCTGAACTCAAACCCACATGCAAAGGTATGAGAAAGGTATTTCCTTTTCAGTTACTGCACTTAGAATATATGTCTGTCATAATAGCCAGGTAATTAAAAACATTTTCATTGAAAAGGAGGAAAGTTCTAAACATCATACACACCCTATATTCCTACTTCTATTGCATTAAATAAAAGACGGAGAAGAGAGGAGGTGAAAGAGAGTGGGAGAGAGCGTGCATGCATGCAGGCTCTCAGAAGGACCAAAGGCAAAAACTGAAGTGGAGAGGAATTCCAGACTGAGTTTTAAAATGTTTATAATCAAAGATTAAATTAATATTTTTGTGGAGAGCAGTATTAGAAAGATTTTAAATCATTAGTGCTTTTCATCATAGGTGGGCTTTCTTGATAAATATAAGAAGTCTCAAGAATAATTAAAGGCATCTTAAAACTTAAAAATGACAATTTTAGCTTCTAAGGATTCATTGTAATGTAATAATACTGTATGCTTTTTAGTGTTACTTCTGCACTAGACATTTAATTACAGTCTTTGTGAGACATGTTATCTGTATAGTAACCAGTGCATAAAAAGAATGATATTTACTTTTACATACAAGCTCTTGCTTGCCAGCTTTCTTTTTAAGATTATAGATTAAGATCTCTAATCCAGAATGTTCATGACTTCAATGAAAACAACTTAATTTTACACAATTTTGGGAAGGAATGGAGCATTTATTGTAATAGTACTACTTCTCTAGTCACACTTTTTGCAATAATACTTGAACTGCTGTTTAGCAGTGGGGTTTTTTTCTGTGCAAGGGCCCAAACTCAGCGTTTCTTTGCTTGTTCAAAGGGTAGATTTTACAATATAAAATGAAAAAGCATGTCTAATTTTTATATTGAGAAGCAGGATTAAAAAAATGTCTAAGCATAGCATGGTAGGTTTTTCACAGGTACAGTTTATTGCTGAGAGGAAATTTGGAGCTTGCTTTTGCTATGTTAGATATTGACTATTTTCTGAAACATACACTAGATAATATAAATTTATGGAGTTCGTAGCTTGGTCCACTCATTGCTATGGAAAAGTAAGTACAGTTGCAAAAAGGTGCATAAAATTAGTTTTTCTTTCGATATATTTCCAGTAACTGCGAAAAGTGCTTCTTGATATAGTGAACTTTCCACAGTTCCTAGGTTCCGCACTGCCATCATTGCAGGATGAGGCACAAGGGAAACCTGTTTTAAACTGTTTTAAAGCAGAGCTTTTCAGTCGATAATATGTATCATACATCTTCTTTTAGGTCTTGTTTTTCATTTCTTATCTAGCAGTTCTGTGCAGGAACAATATGATACAGGTTTTGAGCCCCTAGTTTCGGTATGCTTTGTAAGAAAATCTCAGAGTAAAGTCAATCGGTCAAAATCAATCTCTGTCCCATTGACTGTATTTTATTGACTTTCTGTTTCGTTTTTCTTCACTTGACTCACTGAATACTATAATCATCTTTGC